TACTTACTCCATTCCCATTGCTTTAGCTGGCGTTCGAAATGAAACCTTTTTCCATATTTCCGCAATCTTCGACTCTGCGTTCGCTTTCCGCTCTCATGTTCCTTGTTCTTGCTCTTGGGAGCATTGCCTCGCCCGTGCCACAAACCTCCTCCCCAGACGAGGCGCCTGTGCTCCAGAAAGCGTCCCCGTCACTTGAGCCCAACTCTCCACTCGAGCGTCGCAATAACCCTAAGACGGGTATGTGTGACTTCTACTTTCATAGCTGGCAGTTTTTCTGATGATAATGTTGCGACGGCACACTACCTTATCAAGAGGTCAAGATGTCGGTCACAGTAATTAACGTTTCCTACCGGCCAATCAACAATGTGTGCTTTCGAATTGGTGCCAACAAGTGGATGCAGCTTGCTAGATCCGACTCCGAGTCCCAACATACCTATGGTCTAACCTATGTTCCCAACGGTCTAACCTATGTTCCCGACGGTCTAACTTTCGGGTCACCGAACGGCCAATCGTTCATCCATGCCACCGTCCTGGATCACTTTGAGGAAGGTGGTGACACTGAAATAATAGGGACTACGAGTGCTGTAGTGAGCCCTGACCACTTTTGGGCGGAGATCAATGCGGCCAGTCATGCGACATTATCGGCTTTCATTAATGGTGTGGTTGCAAAGCTAAGTTCATCCGAGATAAGGTTCTCCCAATCTGTCCAAGAGAGGGATAATTTTAACCGACTTCTTGACCAGCTTCATGGTCAGTAGTGGTACTTCATGATCGTTGTTGTAATCAGTGACTATCACGGTAGTCTGTCGGAATTTGGTTCTGCCAATGCAACAAACTGATTGTACTTCGCTTTCTCTCGGTCCCAAACGAAGGACGGGCATTGTCCATAATCTGGATCATCATGATCATTGCGTGTATGTTCAAGGATTTTGTTGATTGAGTCTTCGTCAGTGAATCTTGACTTGGAAGAAATCCGGCTCTGATCAAAGCGATTATCAAGGTCAACTCGAAAAGAAGATGTGCATGTAATGATGTAGGTCACAATTGAAAATATTCGAAACCGAATTGAAATAACCGCAAAATCAATAGGACACTGCATGGATCACCTTCTCTGTTTGTTCGTTGCCGTGACATATGTAAAGCGTTAGAAATTGATAATCATTGCCACTGTTCATCAGCTCTTCTCGTTGTCAATCATCAGTATAAGTTTCAACTTTCAAGGCGGTCCATATGCCACCAAAGGTTTTTTCTGAACCATCTTCGTAGCGCAGAGCTTGCTGTGAAGTTTCGAAAGAGATAAGTTAGTAGTCTGAGGGTCTGATGAGCTGTATCTCGTTGTGACCGGCCATGAATACAATGATTCTCATAAACAAACGGGGTGGCCAAGTTGGCGATTCCGAATAGAGTGAGGTTTAGGAGATGAATCGAGGAGCACGGAAAATCTCAAAAAGGCCAGGCACGCTTCGGCTAACTTTAGCGCCCACACTTGGCCACTCTCATCAAGAGCAAAAAAGTTGACTTCTGACAAGCTCTTCACCTCTCCCACCAAAACCACAAGTTAATCGAAGACTACTGAGCTTTCTCTTGTACAAGTGACTCCTCATCTTCGAACTGGATTTTGGATCTCTCAACGGCCTTCAATCTGTGCATGACAACGGGTGAGTTTGCTGGAGAGTGTTTGTACAAAAAGACAGATATGCATTCATGGATGATTTTGTAGTCTACTACACCAACGACAACAGTCATCTCTGTGAAATACGATAGCGCTTTCCTCTCTGAAGTACCTTCCATGTCATCCCGCGACCCCAACTCGAATCGTCCCACCTCAGACGACATAGAATCACAGAGGCTTGATCTGGCATTCGAACGTATCCGACATCTCAGAAGAGAAATTCTGTCCCCGGAGCAATGGGACTCTTTGAACTCCAACAACAGTAGGAACAGATTAGGTCCTGGTCACGAAGCCATCGTCCTGACCGGCCAAGACGAACGAGATTCCCCAGATGAAGGAGAGAGAATGGACAGAATAAGGACGATGATTCCTCCAGATACCCGGGAGCGTCTCAGGCAGTTTGAGGCTCGTCGTGTCGACGCAGATCGAGAGAGGCTAGAGAGGGAGAGAAACAATCGGGCTCATTCGTATCTATTGCACGCCGCTGCCGCTCACATGCATCCCCTCGACACCTCCGTCTCTCCATCTTCGTCACGCTCGTCATCCGTTCAGTCCCCACTCCATTTCGCGTCCCCTCTCAGTCCTCCTCGTCAACGGCTTTTGCCCTACAGGCCGTTGGATTATGATACTCCGCCGTTCAGAAGGAGGGAATCCATGTCGTCGTTGTCGGATGATCCTAATACTGAACTAGGTCGACGGGTGGCCGCTCGTGAATCTACGCAAGACAGTGCGAGGGATTCCTCTCACAGTTCCAATACAACATCTTCTCGAGATAGTCACTACAGGCTTCCCACAGTTATGGAACGGCAATACGAGTATGGCCTTCGTACTAGACCTCAACGATCAGAACCTGCGCTTCTACGTTACAACGATCCCTCTCTCGAACAACTCCGATTAGAGGTCGAAAGTCGTATCTCTCGCAGTCTGGATAACCCTGGAGCACCACCGTCTCCGAGTGCGGAAGCGTCTATCCTCCGTGCCAATCTCAGAGCAAGAGCCGGTCCAACTCGCCAGAACTCGAGTGTATCATCCAGCCTACCCTCTGCTGCCTCCTCTCAGAGTCGGCTGTCGTTGTTATCCAATTTTGGTGTACAGAATTTCCCTACGCCTTCTTCGACGCTGTCGAATCCCCCTTTGTTGTTCGAGGAGCCTACGAGCTATGTACATCCGACAGCTGATGAGTCTAGGTTGGGATTTATCGAGGAAGAACGCGCACAGGAGAATTCAGCTTCTAGGGATCGGGCTGGGTTCGGTTGGGACCCTCGAGCTGAACAAGAGTTGTTGTTTACGTCGAGTCCGGTTCAGATGCAGCATGATGCGGATGTCATTAGGCCAGGGCATCATCGGGATAACACTGTCCGAGTTCAGAATCATACTTCGCCCAGTTTACGTGAGTGTTCTTATTGTGTTATGATTCACGACCCAAGATCATTTATCAAACCCCCTGGGTTCTTTTCCCTTTGGTTCTTTGTTCATGTAGCCGCTTTCGACCCTTACAGTCCCAGAGATCGAGACGTGTACCGGGGCAACAGGAGAATGCGGCAATACGTGGAAAACAGCGTGATGATGATGCGTCGAAACGCGACAGATCAAAGTCACTACAATCTAAACAATCTAAACTCAGGCTTTCCTCGTCCGGAAGAAGTCCCTCGACCGACATCCATGGGAGTCGATCCTCCGAACCAACTTGTGATCGAGTCTCATGTGCTTCCGGAGTATCATCTGATTCGAAATCGACATCGGGAGACGGACGATGTGTTGTATTACTCTGTTGACCCGGATGGGGTTTCCTCTGCGAGGAGATACGTTCCTTCGTCGTCTGCTGCTGGTGGTGAGGAAGAAGAAGAAGATAGTATACGGTATTTCGGGACGAATGTGCCAAGATATGTGGACCCGCTACCTTCTGCGCTGGTGGATAAGATTTTACCTGAAGAACCACGACCTCGATCCCGACGGCCATATCATGCGAATCGTTCATCTACTGCTGCAGTTATGACTGTTTTTGCGGGTAGGTAAACATTCAACATCATTCATTCAAACCAAAATCTCTCCCTCTCTTTTCTTGAGTACACGGTATCTGTAAATTATTTGTCGTTCTTTCTTGTCTTCAACCTTTTCATCATATGTATTTTCGCTTGCATTACTTATCGCTCTCAGCCTCTAACTTATTTGTCTTCACTCTCTTTCTTGACCCATATTCATATTCATATTCACGCAGTACATAGTAGTCATAATTCGTTTCTCGCTCATTCTTGGATTCTCGGTTTCAACGTTCCCTTCCTTGAAGTTCCAGTTCTGCATTATCATTCCTTTCCAATGACATACTCATTATTTTGGCAAACGATATCATTACCTACTTACTTGATCTACTCCATGTATGCAATCACTGTTACTCCTCCAGCCTCTGGCTCAATGTTCAAATTTCTTGCATATCGCGCAGAAAATGAGCCGCCGGTTCAGGTTCGAGAATGAGAATTCTCGACTCCGTGTGTAGGAACAGGGGACGAAAGTCACAAATCAACGGGGTTAGTTAAAGCTGAACAGGAACAGTTCTGCCTTGACTATCGAACTCGTAAGATCTAAGTTCTGAACAATACGAAACGTTCGGTACAGAGTCAGCAACCATGCGGCATAAACCCACGAAGGGCTACGAAGGGACACATTCACACATACCGCAATTCCGGAAAATCTCGCCTCCTTGAAAGAGATAACCCAGGATTCCCCGATGGGATATGATCAGCACGTTGCACTCCGGACGAGCCTTGAGTTCCTCCAGGACGCCTTGAGCTCTCTGAAATGCTCGTTCATCAGTATGCTCAGGGTAGTCCCATGTCTCGTGGCATCTAGAGAAATCTAGAGAAGGATAGGATGTTTCCAGCTCAGCCCTGGTACGACCCAAGTTGCACATCGCATGGTCGTGTGTTTCTCGTAGTTCAGGCCAGATTTCTACATGGATGTCATCGACATTGTTACTGGTATTGTTGAGCGTGCCGGATTGTGCACTAGAGAGGTCCTTGAGCTTGTTCAGGATGGCGTAGAGAGTCTGGATTGTGCGAGTCATAGGGGAACAAATGATGAGATCTGGGATGAAGGCTAGGTGGACTTGTGTGGCTTCTGCGAGGCCTTGTTCTGTTAAGGGAGGGTCGCGTTCTGGCCATCCTCTGTGAACACTGAGAGGAATGAGGTCTAGGTGTGTTGGAAGGTGATGAGATGGTGAATACTGACTTGTGAATAGCCTGGCCGTGTCGAAGAGCGTGCAAGCGTTTGATTGGCTTTGCACGCGAAGTTGGTGGATGCATGTAGAGTTGAGAGAGAGTAAAACCATTGATCCTTCTTAGCTCAGTTGGTAGAGCGCGTCACTAGTATTCATCAAGTGTGTCGCTGTGGCTTCAGAAGATCTAATGACGAGGTCAGTCGTTCGAGTCGGCTAGAAGGAATTTTGACATTCTATGTGCGTTTTTTTTCGCTTCTTGAACCAAGAAATCTAGAGTCCAGAGTTGCATGGAGGTGCGTCCTGAAATGATATCCTGCATAGCTACCCTCTCATCGATTCCAGGTCCTCAATCCACGCTCTGCTCTTCTCTCCAACTTTGAAGTCCTCGAGCTTTTGCGGGACCTCGAAAACGATCATCTGGCGCGTGCAAAGACTGCCATCCGTATCAAGAAGGAAGAGGAAGCCTCTGGCGCGACTGCTCAGCCTAAAGATTCTGCGACGATAGAGATCACTGAGAATGTACGGACGATCCAAGTCGAAGTGTGTGTAACCAGTCGTCTCGAGTTTTTCTTCTTGTTCATTCATATGTCCTCTTTCGTCAGGCAATCCAATATCTGACGGCTGACTATCAGCCAACGTCTTCCCAATCGCCCTCCGGAATAACACAGTTGGTCAAAGATCTAGCAGGATATGAACTAACAAAAGCCGAAAAACTGCAGATCGTGAACCTTGCTCCTACTCAGCCAGTGGAGCTCTATGTTGTACGTTTCTGACCCTGGAGTTTGGAAAGTCTTCTTATATCACTACTAGATCGTAGAGGAGCTCGAGGATCGACTGGGAGATTCTATGGAGACGGTTCTTTCAACAGTATCTGCATCACTGTCCGCGACACCTTCACAGCCAATCAATCCTTCCTCTCCTCCTCCGGTGCACCCTATGTCCAGCTCCGATACCATGGGCGACTTGAGTCTGCAATATCCATCGGACGCCTTCAATGATGGGGACATAGTTAACGATATGGTCTTTGACGATGAGGGTCAAGGTGTTGGTGTTGAGGGAGACCTCGACAAGGAAGAGGATGATGATTAGGGATTCCGTTCGACGGCTATACTGGATCTGTAATTTGATTGTATATTGTAGAATAGTCTATGACCATACGAAAATATGCAACCGACATACGTTACTTTGAGTGATAATTTACTGATGCTACAGTATGTACTAGGTTTCCCTCCAAAAAAGCCAACGCCCAAAATCCATTTCACTAGTGATGGGTATCCATTTTTGTCAAGAATCCATTTTCCAAGAAAAAGTTCTCGTCCAGCGTAATCGAAAAAGAACGACTACATCGCACTGACAGTCACCCTGCCTTTGAACCAGTCCCGCATCCCCTTGGCCCGAAGGCTGATGCTACTCTTCACACTCTCCGGCAGACTCTTCAAACTCCTCATACTCTTTCCACTCTTCATACTCTTGAAACTCTCCAACGAAGGTGCACTCCTCAACCCAGCATTCCTCAACCCAATGTTATGTATCTTCTCACCCATCTCAGTAACATTCTCCAAGCACGCTCCCGGGTGCTCAGACGCTTCGGGATGAGCAGAAAGATGCGGCGCCATGGTGCCCAAAGCAAATGGACCTGATATTGTCGGTCGATGATTGGGGGTCTTGAATTCAGGAGATGATATTGACGGAGCACGCCTGACGATCGAACCAGTCGTGCTAGAAGCCGTAGAGCCTTTTCGTTTCAACGAGACAAAGCTCCGAAGTGTGCCAGTACCGGTACTGCCACTCGAAGTGCGTTCCCTGCTTCGATCTGGGGTGGGTGTGACACATGTGTCTTCTCGTTCCTGCGCACGCAGTGCGCGAGTGTTGTTCATAGTCGGGCGGGTCTGGTGTTGATGATGATGATGGAAGTCTTCTACGAACCGCGTGGAGCCAATGTTGATTTTGGCTTCGTCTGCAGCCGAGGGAGCTGGAGGGGTCGTGTCCCCTGCGGGGATCACATCGCTCGCTGCGTATGGGTGGCGGAGGTTGAGTGAACCTCCTGCTGCCCCGTTCGAGCGTCCGTCTTCGTCGTCTTTGATATCCTCGTTTTGGTCCATATCCATCTCGGATAAATCAATCCCCATCGAGTCATAATCAAACGGACCAGCACCCGTCGTCCCATCCCACGATTCATATATCGCACTAGCATAATGCACCGTAGGCTTCTCAACGAATTTCACAGACTTGTTACTGCTAACAGTCGTGCTCACGCTGTCCTTTCTCTGGTTCTTCCTCTGAAGGCTGGCGTCCAGACCTAGATCGATGCCAGAGTCGAATTTGAAGGAGGGGTTTGTCCGGTCGGGATAGGATTCGGGATAGGGTGTGCGAGAAGCTAAGATGGATTTTGTAGGCGAGGGAGATTTCCGTCGTTGGACGTCCATGTGGGAGGGGTCATCGTCTTCGACGACTTCGACGATGGCCCTGTGGTGTGGTTCGAATTTGGGCTGGAATTTCTTCGGCTTTGTGCCAAACCCACCTATGGTAGGCGAACCAGGTGTTAACGGAGTCAACGGCGACGATGGGGCTGACGAGGATAATGATGAAGAGTTGGAAAAAGCGGCAGATGAGGTGGAAGAAGATGTTGTCGAGGAGAACGACCCCGAACGTAAATGACTCGATCTCCTCTTAACAGGAGTGTTATATATCGGTGGGGACTGAAACGTAGACGACGTAGGTGATTTATTCCCTGTGATGCGACTCGAAACCGGAATACGGGATATACCCAACTCCTTCAAGCTTCCTCTTGCCTTTCGCCGTTTAGGACTCGACCCATGATCCAGATCAGCTCCTGACCAGATCGAAGGAATAGCAGTAGCGGTATGAACGGCAAGGGGACTCGATGGCTGAGGTTGTTGTCGTTTACTCTTTGATCTGCCCAACGACAACCGTGCTATCTTCGAGTTTGAGTTTGAACTGGGAGGAGAGTTTGTTGTTGATGGACTCTCAGAGGTTGAGTTGGGTCCAGACCGTGGGTGAAGTATCGAAGTCCAAAAAGCACCCGTACTAGATGAAGCTTTAGGCTTTGTACTTGACGACGGGTGTCGTGTGAGGCTCGAAGCTGAGGAGTTTAATCCCAATGTTGAAGGAATCAAGACGCCGATACTTCCGACACTTCCGATGCTACTCCCACTACCGTTATTAACATTACTGCTGTCTTTGTTGCAGTTAATGAGATGTGCTGGTAAATTTGACGAGCTGGCGTTCAGACAACTGGTGGATACGTCTGGAAAATAACTGCCGACTGAGACAGATTTGTATGTAGTCGAAGTGGGAGTGACACATCGACTGCTATCGGCTGTTGAGGCAGGAGAGGGAGTATTACCGCTTGCGGTAGAGTCAGACACGGTACGCCGAGCGTATTTGATCGCGGAAGGACGCGTAGGAGAAGATGCAGAAGGTGATTTAGGTCGACGGTAGATCCATTCAGAGACCGGAGAGCCGCTGTGGGTAGATGATGAAGAAGCCGTGCGTTTGTTGAGACGCGGAGATGTCTTAATAGGATGGGACGTGCTCGTATTTAGTAATGAACCTTCGATTGTGCTTGTGGGAGGAGATGAGGATGAAGATGATCCAGACGCGGTCTGCGAATTCATGAGCCAAAATGAGCCAAAAAAATGATGTTCGATGGAAGGACCACGAACCATGATAATGTGATTCAAGTTGGAACGCGAATGTCGCCTGTTGAAGGAACCAGACAGGCGATTCACAACTTTCGCGCTGCTTGATTTGGTTGAACGCTGGTAATGATGTCGTTTGTTGTTCTTGGTCCGGGGGAACGTAGAAGCGTTGATAGTGGTTGAGCTACGGCTCGATGTAGAATGCTGATCAACGTGGTAAGAAGAGACGGATGATCAGCAATCTATTCAACGACGCACGGATCCGTTGTTGGTTGAAGGAGTGGGACTGGTTTCTATAAGGCTAGTTGTGCTAGATTCTTGAAGAATCGCGTCAGCGGCATCAAGCCATCGAAGTTCATCGCTAGTTATTGATATAAGGGAGAAGTTTGGTTGCTATACATGGGGATCTGTTCATCTCTCGCGCGCGCACAAGACACGGAAAATCTACTCACTTGATACATTTCTGATTGCCTCTCTCTCTGTACTAATGGCCGACGGAAGGCCCAAACAAAAACACGCTGAAGGAAAGTTGTGTTGGGAGGGTGCGCGGAAGCGTTAGTATTAGGGAACGATTATTTGGATTCAAGCCTCAGGCGAGCAAAGAAAAGAGAGGGTGAAGCTTTGCGGAAGCTGGGGGTGGAAAAAAGGAAGGTCGTAATGACGGCGAGCTTTTTCAATGGGCCTACCACACGGCTAGCCTCGAGAATACCTGCGTAAAGTTTTGGGAAGGGGTGAGAGCATACTCGAACCTCACGTTCCACACGTGTAAACTTCGATGGATTGCATAATGAACTTTTTAATAGAACGGCGAATCGTTGCGGGCGGAGTTGATAGTCGATGGGTATTTTCAGATCCCATCAAGGAAGGCAGGGACAGTGGCGGGAGGTGGCCTGAGGTGGCGGGACAGGTCGGAGAAGGTCGGAGAACGGGTAATGACGGCAAATCAGGAGCGCACTCATTTCATTGATTTTGTAACTCATTCCTCCACGTATACACCTCGAAAATACACCAATTTTCTATATTTTGTGAGTGTTCAATACCCTTCAATACCGCTCAAGCGTGACATTCCTATTATGGTAGCATCCGCAGGCTCAATACAAGATATCAGCGCAGTTGGAAGTCTCGACGGGGTTCTACACGCGATTCTTGACGCGGTTGGAAGTCTCGTTTGCCCGACAATTTCTCTTATCCCGATACACCCGCTTCTGCTTGCTGTTTCATCCTCGATTGTACCCTATAATCGCTCTCAACTCCGTCTTTCCATTGTTCTGAGTTTTAGTTGAAGGCTGGACCCCGGACTCTAGGATGTGGGATTGCAATAGGTGCGTAAAGACCTCCGAAAAATTACAAGTCATGAAGCTGAAGGCCTAATCAAAATTCCTTATATCAGGTATCAAGTTCGAAAAGAAACCCACCTTCACCGTCTTCGACTTTGACTCCCTACGAGTCATGGGCAAGTCAAACTTGAACTCGTTGTCAAGCTGGCCCACATCTTCATCTGCTGCAGTGTCATATCACCCTTATCTCCGTACTCAAAATCGGCGACAAATCCATGTGCGAT